TGACGAACCTGGAGGAATGCGCGTCTTTCTGGCGTCGTCTTTTCCCAGGGCCGGAATCGGACTGCTTGATATCTGGATGAGTCTTCCTCCCGCCGCAGTCGCGCCGCACTAAACCTGTCGTGTGGGAGCGGCAGCCAGTGCGGCGCGCGACCAAACAGAAAACAATCGCTTGCTTGCAGAAGATCGCCATCTTCTGGGCTCGCAAATCTCGGTGCGATGCCTTCCATTCCCGCGCTCTGCGCAGCGCCCGTCAGCGGCCATCGGCGTTCGGACTGGGAGACATCCTGGAAGAGCGTCGTCGCATCTGCATCGGCCGCGGAAACGCCCTCGAAGATCTTGGACGCTGGCTTCCCACTGGCTCGGTCCACCAGGAAGCGGCCGCCGCGGTGTCGTTTCTCGAGATGTCAGTGGCGTCGCATTGGTAAATTCTCTCGAGCGCCCTGTGATCTACTGAGGTGGAAACATTCTGCATGCCGCGCCAAATATCGCCGCTCGACCGTCGCGCCCGCTATACTCTCCAGTTGGAGAGCAGCCGCGGCCTGTGTCGCTCCCGCATGAGAGCGGCGGGGTCCGCCGGCCCCCTTGTGGGGCCACCAGGCTGTAGGCGCGGGTTCGCAGTTTCCTGTACCAGTTGTAGCTTGTAGTTTCCAGTGTTACAGTTCTGCTTCTTGCTGGTTACTGTAACTAGTTGATTGACCGCGCGAGGGGGGGGGAGGCCCAAACAAGATTTTTAGCGTCTCCTGGGCGCGTTGTCTGAATTGCTGGGGGGGCTCGAAATCAACACCCCTCACGCAGATCCGCGGGGTCAGGGTCCAAAAACACATGGGATTTGCCACATTTCTGAAATTCGGTGCCACCCCTCACGCAGATCCGCGGGGTCAGGGTCCAAAAACACATGGGATTTGCCACATTTCTGAAATTCGGTGCCACCCCTCACGCAGATCCGCGGGGTCAGGGTCCAAAAACACAAGGGATTTGCCACATTTCTGAAATTCGGTGCCACCCCTCACGCAGATCCGCGGGGTCAGGGTCCAAAAACACATGGGATTTGCCACATTTCTGAAATTCGGTGCCACCCCTCACGCAGATCCGCGGGGGGTCAGGGATTTGTTTCTGAAATTCGGTGCCACCCCTCACGCAGATCCGCGGGGTCAGGGTCCAAAAACACATGGGATTTGCCACATTTCTGAAATTCGGTGCCACCCCTCACGCAGATCCGCGGGGTCAGGGTCCAAAAACACAAGGGATTTGCCACATTTCTGAAATTCGGTGCCACCCCTCACGCAGATCCGCGGGGTCAGGGTCCAAAAACACAGGGATTTGCCACATTTCTGAAATTCGGTGCCACCCCTCACGCAGATCCGCGGGGTCAGGGTCCAAAAACACAGGGGATTTGCCACATTTCTGAAATTCGGTGCCACCCCTCACGCAGATCCGCGGGGTCAGGGTCCAAAAACACAGGGGATTTGCCACATTTCTGAAATTCGGTGCCACCCCTCACGCAGATCCGCGGGGTCAGGGTCCAAAAACACAGGGGATTTGGCACATTTCTGAAATTCGGTGCCACCCTTCACGCACATCCATCGCAAGGCGTGGTAACCCAAACTGCGAGAACTCCCTCGGCCCTTTAATCGCAAGGTGTGGTAACCAAGCCCGTAAACCATACACGTCTTACCAATCGCCAGGTGTGGTAACCCCTCTTGTGATCAGTTGGTTTTGCTGATTGCGAATCGGCTTCGCATGAAGTTTCGATACTGCTTCACGACAGCGCCAAGGCCTCATGACTTAGCTCTTCCATGGCCCATTCTCCGAGAGAGGGGGCCGGCGGCAGGGGGCGAAGCCCTTACGGATAAGTACATAATTGACCGTGGTCGCCGCTTGGGCACTCACGCTGCAACGGAGGGCCTGTTTTTGAACCGCAGTCTGCCCAAAGGCAGCGCCCGCGCCGCAATCGCATCCCGACCATCCGCGGCTTCCCGCTGACCTTGGGTGCCTGGCGCGTACACGAGGCGTTCTGGGCTGACACTGGGCGCCACTGCTGTCGGACGCGCGCAAGCACCTCCCATACGGGAGGCCTCCCAGATGGGGTCGGAGTAGATGGGGGCGGAGTTTCTCGCCGCATCGACAATGCATCACCGATGCATCGGCGATGCATCGGCGTCGTCGGCGTTGAGAAACTCGGGTTAACATTGAGCCGCATCGCCGATGCATCGGCGACGCGGCACGATCCTCTGACCCCATCGATTCGGACCCCATCTGGGAAGCCTGAAATCACCTCCCGATCTCCCGTGCCCTGCTGGTGCCCTGCTAGTGGCGGGGCACCGAAACCAACCGCGGGCGAGGTCCTGGGGGCGCAGGCCGTCTCTGGAAGGGCGCGGAGAAGACCTCCGCGGGAGCCGGCCGTAGCAGCGCTGCCCTGCGGCTGCTGGCGGTGCGCAGGCCCCGTGCACATCTGCCGCAGTCCGGCGAAGTCTTATCCTGGAGGGCATAGATGAGGGGGTGACAGGCCCAGGAGCGGAAGCATCGAGCTGGATTCGGCGATGCATCGCCGATAGGGGCCTGCTAGCCCACCCCTCCCAGGACCGTGCGGATTCGCTATCCCAGGCCTATCGCCGATCTATCGGCAATGTACCGCCAGTTCCAGCTCGATGTTTTTCACCCCTCCCCCCCCCCGTGAGCCTGTTCCCGCCCCCTATCGTTGCCCCTGGTGATCCTGGGGGGGGGGCCTCTGCGCGGGCGTCGTCGGAGATCTTGGCCGCCCTCACGCCGCCGCGACGAGGGGTGGGGGCGCCAAGACCCCTCGTCACCCTTGCATGCGAGGCAACATCTCAGGCAGGCGGTCGTGCTCACCTCGCAGCGCGGCGCAGTCGGAAAGCGCTGCCCACCTCATCAGAGACTGCAGCCCTATCGAGTCAGCATTCCCGCAGAGCCTGAGACTGGATGCGCTCCTGTGCAATTCACCTGTGTTCAACGGGCACGGTCGCTTTCGCTGCCGAGAGCCGAAACATGCCAACGCTTCCAGCACTGCTTCTGTCTTCGAATTCGCCGGACAACTACACCTGACCCCTCGTCTACATCCGCATGCTCCGTGAAGGCGCTTCACGATGTCGTCCGCTCCGCTCTCTTTTGGGATCTTCTGGAGTGCGCGCTCGATCTCCTCGCGGAAGGGGGTCGCGTCGTGCTCGGAGAGGATGGTGCGGGCAATCTAGCCAATCTCTGTCGATTTTGACTCTCCTTGTGGTTCCAGCTGCACTTTGATCGTTCGGCAAATGTGTTCGCGCATCCATCCATCCTCCTCCACCTATTCCTCCTCCTCTCTGCCCCCATCCTTCCTCTTCACTCCACCTTCGCGTCATTCTTCTCCCTCCTCCCTCCTTCTTCCCTCCTCCCTCTGCCCCCCTCCATCACCCCCTCCCATCTTCTTCCCTTCTCCCTCCTCTGCCCTCTCCCCTCATTCGCCCTCCTCCCGCTTGCCTGCGCCCCCCTCTTCCATCCGCACTTCCCTCCTCCTGCTGGGTAGCCTCCAACATGATGCCACTGCGTGGACCCCAAACAACGACGCTGTGTAATCCACTGGGTGCAACTTCAGAGGTGCAATCTGTGCGGTGCAACCTAATCATGCTTAGGTGCGTGCCGGAAATGGGCCTCCGCGGCTAGTGCTGTTGTTCTTGCTGTTGTGTAATCGTCGTCCTCGCTGGCGACCCACTCGCGACCCGCCCGCGACCCACCCGTGATCCACCCGCGATCCGCCCACGTTGTTTAGACGAAGTATCAACGCCTGTGGCGGGCTGATAATGCAATGTTGGAAAATTCTGCGCCTGCGGCGGGCTTCTGTAAATGTGCTGTCCGGCCTCTCAGACTGCAGGCGACACTCCTGCCCCCTCATTTTGATCCACAACTGCGGGGTCTATGATCTGATCCAGAGTCCAGGCCACGCCCCCCCCCCTTCTCATGGGTGCACTCTGCACGGTGCCACCGATCATGTGATCCAGAGTCCAGATTCCCCTGTGATAGGTCTAAAACTCGGGGAGGCCAACTTAGTCCTGCGGGCGCAAGGCAGGCATGTGGGGTCGTTGGGCGTGTGTACGACATGTACGTGGGCATCTTATATAGTAGTGCATTTGAGCATGCCTGCATCAACGAGTTTAGAAAACAGTCGTTTCGGATATGGTAGTTTCGGGTGTGGTCGTTTCGGGTATGCCTAATAATAGTTTAGAGTGATGGAGTCGTTCGCCGAAATCGAAGTGAACCAAGCTTGACCCTGGATCGCACACGGGGTGCTATCTGTGGGGTGCCCCGCTGTTAGGGTGTAACCACCTACGGGTGCAATCTATGCAGTGCAACTCATGGGAATCCAAGCGGCGGCAACACAGAAAAGTGCGGCAAGTAGGGCCAAAGGAAAAATCCAACGGAATCCACAACGACTCATGGGATTCCACAACGCATTTCAGTGCAGGCGCTGTACTGGGAACGTTCGAAAACCTCCAGAGACGTTGTATTTAAAGGGGGGGCACGAGACCACGAGCCGTATACGCTGCCCACGCATCATGAGACGCGCGCCGCCACCTACGGCCTGCGGGGAAGAAACCTCAAGCCCTTCATCCTCCTTCTGGGTGCCGTGTGGCGCTCTCCTTCTCTGCCTGCCTCGTCCTGCTGTTCCTCCTCCCGACGTCACCGTTGCCCTCTTGTCTTCCCCTGGATTCTCCTCGCTGCGATTGGCCCTCCTTCGAAGCATCGTCAGAACATCACGTCGTTGTCATCGTCGTCCTCCACTCGGAAGGCCAGTTGACACATCGGCGGCTCTCCCGAGGGGCCCACATCCGCTCAAAACCGTTCCCCAGACCCTTCCCAGGGTCCATCCTGGCTTGTTGCTCCAGGTGGATACAACCATGGCGACGATAAGCGTCCAAGATGCCAGAAACGGGCGAAACACGCCATGAAGTTCTGCTGTTGTTTCGAGTCGTTCTTCTCAGCAGGAAGCCCTCCCGCGGAGCGGTCGCCTGTGCAGCAGCTGCGTGGCTGCGGAGGTCTTCGGCGCCAGGTCGGTCGGGGTGATGCCCCAGGCCACGGACTCCTGGGTTTCGCGCGCCGCACCCTCAGGGAGCTCACGGCCGCTGGCGGCCGAAGACAGAGCGGTTCGACAACTGTCTGGGCTATGCTGCCAAGATGAAGCCTTTTTCGCATGTTCTGCTGCAAGGAACTCGAACCGTGTTTTCTCTCTCTCTCTCTCTCTCTCTCTCTCTGCGTGTGCGTGTGCGTGTGCGCGTGCGTGTGCGTATGCACGTGCGCGTGTGCGTGCACGTGCGCGTGTGCGTGCGCGTGTGCGTGCGCGTGTGTGTGTGTGTGTGTGTGTGTGTGTGGGTGTGTGTGTGTGTGTTGTGTGTGTGTGTGTGTGGGTGTGCATGCGTGTCCGTGTGCGTGTGCGTGTGCGTGTGCGTGAACGTGGACAGCAATGCAGCGGCTCTTCATGCTTGAGCCCCAACCTGACGACATGACGGGAATCCCAATCCAAATCATCCCCTACGCGATGGCCTTCCGCGCCGCCCCCCAGAGGACAAGGCCAGCATCAACTACGCCAACCGCCACACTCAACGCGCGGGTCCCCGACCCGGATGGATACACCACTCCTCCAGGGGCCCAGCCCATTACCGATGCTGAAGTGGTCGAATGGCCAGGGAGCATATTCCAGAGGCCACTGCCCTCTCACTGCCAGCAGACGGCTGAACACATCGCTAAGACGCACGGCCCGAATGAGCCCCAGTCCCGCGTGCTCCTCATGGTGGGGGGGGGCGTCAACGATAGTGGTAACGGTCGGAGTTCCGTGATGAGGCTCTGGAGCGCTGCGGGGAGCGGGGTGGCCATCCGCGACCCTCCGTTCCACAAGGGTCTCGCCGCCCTCCGCGACAGGGGATAGCGTTCCTCGGCAAGGCTAGCCCAGCTGGGCCAGCCCCCCCCCCGGCCCAGCTGGGCCAGCCCCCCCGCCCCCCCCTGGGCTGGCCCAGCTGGGCCAGCCCTTCCCCGCCTGGCTGGCCCAGCTGGGCCACCGCCCAACCCCAGGCCCGGCCCAATCAAGGGTATCCCACATCTCTGTGCTAGGGGATTGGACAAAACAAACGGGTAAAATTATTCACTGCGTGGAGCTCCCCATATGTGCATCTACTCGCATGGACCTGTCCGCCGTGAATGTCTAGGCGCAAGAGCTTTCGAATATTGACGGGCTTCAGTTGTGGCGGTCTGGACATCAATCTAACTGCGAATGAATTGGAGTGTGAATGAGCCTCAGTAGTACAAGCGCGTCTCTGTGCATGAGCCTGGTGCCTCCTGGGGCCTCCTGAAACCTACTGGGGCTTCCTGGGGTCTCCAGGAGCCTCTTGGGACCTCCTGGGACCTCCTAGGAAGGTTTCGTGCCCCAGGAGAGGCGCAATCTATAGCAACAGACGTACATAAAACATTGCGGATTAGAGCCACAGGAGAAGGGCAATCTATAGGAACACGCGTAAAACACCAAGGACTCGTGCCCCAGGAGAGGCCCAATATATAGGAACATGAGTAAAACATTTAGGATTGTGTACACAGGAGAAGGACCATCTATAGAAACATACGTAGAACATCAAAGAATCGTGCTCCAGGTGAGGCCCAATCGATAGGAGCATACGTAAAACACATGGGATTGGAGCCACTCCTGTTGCCTTCTGAGGCCTCCTGCTCCTGGGGCCTCTCGGGGCCTCCTGTTGCCTTCCGAGGCCTCCTGGCGCTTCCTGTTGCCTCCTGGGGCCTCCTGTGGTTTCCTGAGGCCTTCTGGAGCTTCCTGGGGCCTCCTGGAGCCTCTTGGGACATCCTGTGGCCTCTTGAGTCTTTCTGTGGCCTCCTGATGCCTCCTGGGACCTCATGTGGTCTCCTGGGGCCTCCTGGAGCCTGTTGGAGCCTCCTGTGGCATCCTGAGAAGAATCTGCGCCCACGAGCCTGGCCACCAAAACAAGCAAACCGATCGAGACATCCTCAAAATCTGGCCCACCTGGGGGGTGAAAATGAGCGCCTCGCTCGAGACATCCTCCAAATCTGCTCCGAAAGCGAAGGATGTTGAGCCCAGAAACAAGCAAACCGCCTGAGACATCCCCACAAAATGGCCGCGAACGAGCCCGTGCAACCACCCCTGGCGGCTCCCCTTAGGGCCACGAGCCTGGCCACCAAAACAAGCAAACCGATCGAGACATCCTCAAAATCTGGCCCACCTGGGGGGTGAAAATGAGCGCCTCGCTCGAGACATCCTCCAAATCTGCTCCGAAAGCGAAGGATGTTGGCCCAGAAACAAGCAAACCGCCTGAGACATCCCCACAAAATGGCCGCGAACGAGCCCGTGCAACCACCCCTGGCGGCTCCCCTTAGGGCCACGAGCCTGGCCACCAAAACAAGCAAACCGATCGAGACATCCTCAAAATCTGGCCCACCTGGGGGGTGAAAATGAGCGCCTCGCTCGAGACATCCTCCAAATCTGCTCCGAAAGCGAAGGATGTTGGGCCCAGAAACAAGCAAACCGCCTGAGACATCCCCACAAAATGGCCGCGAACGAGCCCGTGCAACCACCCCTGGCGGCTCCCCTTAGGGGTGCTGAAACCAGCGCCCCGCCTGAGACATCCTCACAATCTGCTCTCCAAGCGAAGGATGTTGGGCCCAGAAACAAGCAAACCGCCTGAGACATCCCCACAAAATGGCCGCGAACGAGCCCGTGCAACCACCCCTGGCGGCTCCCCTTAGGGGTGCTGAAACCAGCGCCCCGCCTGAGACATCCTCACAATCTGCTCTCCAAGCGAAGTCTGAGTATGACTAATACTGTGTATGAGTAAGTCTGGGTATGAGTGAGTCTGTGTATGAGTACGTCTGGGTGTGAGTAAGTCTGTGTATGAGTAAGTCTGTGTATGAGTATGTCTGAGTGTGAGTAAGTCTGAGTATGAGTAGGTCTGAGTATGAGTAAGTCTGAGTATGAGTAAGTCTGTGTATGAGTAAGTCTGAGTATGAGCAAGTCTGAGTATGAGTAAGTCCAACAGGAGGGGAGGAGGAAAGAGGAGGAGGGAGAGGGAGTAGGAAGCGTCCAAGTAATAACAAGAACCCCATCTTAGGATATGGGGAAAAACACATGCCCTCTCGTGTCCTTCGACGTTTTGGCTCGCGTCGTCAAGTCTTGATTGATTTTGTGCCAGTATTCTTTCTGCAAACAGCTGCTGGCTTTTCGAACTGACGCCGATTGGCGGCATGCCGATGGGACCTCAGAAGCGCTCCATCTTGACATTGCTGACTAGGAACAGTACCGGGGCCGAGCCGGAGGGGAAGCCGTTGGCGCCCAAGATCGCCAAGACAGGCAGGCCAAAGGCCGAGAACCAAAGCCTGGCCGACAGCCAAACCAATCAACGCCGCTGGCCTGTTCGTCCGCCCTGAACACGCCTGGAAGTTTCAGCCTCTCGCTACGGAGGCAGGGGCTTGTGCGCACTACAAAACTTGGGAGGTTCGGCCTACAGTTTGCAAGTGCCGGACCAGAGGGCAGGACATCTACATCCTGCAAAAAGGTTTCGTGGATGATGATGAGACAGAGGAGGTTTGGATTGCCACTGTCAAATGCAAGTGGGTCGAATGCCGCCGAATCACATCTCCCAGTGATCTCACAGAGAACTACGACAAAACCATGACCGACGTCGACACCCTCGAGAAGCTATTCGGCCTGCATCTCAAGGACCCCGAGAAGTTCCCCGAGATCTTCGCGTGGGTCGTCGAGAAGAACGAGACGCTCGACCCGCCGCTATACCTTCCCTTCAATAAGCAGCGGGCTGAGGGCCCATCAAATAGAGCAGGGAGCGGAGGAGGAGGAGGAGGAGGAGGAGGAGGTGGTGGAGGAGGAGGAGGAAGAGAAGGAGGCGGAGGAGGAGGAGGAGGAAGAGAAGGAGGCGGAGGAGGAGGAGGAGGAGGAGGAGGCGTCCTGGGGCCCGTCCTGGGGTCCTGGGGCCTGCTGTGGCCCATGCCCTTGCCTCCTTCCTTCTTCTTCTCATGCTAACCCCTCTGCCTCTGCTCCTGGTCCCTCCTCCCCCTCCTCGCTCGCTCCTCCCCTCCCTCCCACTTCCATTGTTCCTCCGCCCTCTCCTTTTGACCCGCAGGGCTGGGTGGTCATCGGCGACCCCGATGTCCTGAAGCCGTGTCCCTCTGGATTCGTCTTCAAGGAACCTTCGAGCTCAATAGCCTGGATGCCCGCAGTGTCTCGCGAGGAGCCGAGTGGCGAAACCGACGACTCGAACGGCGACGACCACAAGCCGAGCGACAAGACGAAGGATGAGCCGAAGGACAAGGTTGAGATCGAGCCTGAGGCCGATGAGGACGTCGGTGTGCAAGCGGCCTCCGACGGGTCCGACGACGACGAGGGCTCTCTGGACTTCAGTCTCTCCAGCTGCAGCTCCTACCCTGACGGTCTGGAGGGGAAATCAATTTACCTCTTATCATCCCAAGGGCCGTCGTCATCCCCTCCCTTCCACTCCCATCCAAAGGACCCCTAGACCCCAGGCCCCCAGGCCCCAGGAACCCAGGACGCCTCCACCTCCTCCTGCTCCTCCTCCTCCTCCTCGTCCTCCTCCTTCTCCTCCTCCCCCTCCTCCTCCTCCTCCTCCTCCTCCTCCTCCTCCTGCTCCTCGTCCTCCCCTTTTCCTTTGTTTGCTTGTTCCTTCACAGGCCGGTGATCAAGCAGCTGGCGAGCTGGACGAGACGCAGCCTAACCTCACCGAGCCCACGGTGCAGAATCGCAGACCTATCGTGAACAGCCTGCGCGAGGACTACATGTGGGCCGAGCACAACCTGAGTGCGATCCAGGACAATCTACACGAGTCGACTGACAAGCAGGTTCATTGGGCGCTCCCAAGCGGCCCCGTCCTAGGGCCGAGTGGGTTGTCAGCAGCAGAACTCTACAAGCGCGCCGTCGAGGGCAAGACCATGTCGTTCGCCTACGCAGGGATAGACGCGCCAGGCTGCAGTGTGATCATGTCGGTTGAGGCCGCGAACGTTCGTCTTGATGGGATCAGTACATGTCGCAAGCCCGCTTGCTGCTGGGCCATCGAGAATGATAAGGAGTGCCAGCGGGAGTTGAAGTTACATCCGTCTAACATCATGGAGTTGTACGGCGACTTGGACGACTTCTGGACCGATGAGATCCGACGCGAGCTGACGAATATGAAGGCGGCGGGGGAGGACATCAGCCTGGACGATTTGGTTCCGCTCGTCCAGTGTGGGGTGGCAGTGAACATCAAGCAGCAGGACCTGCGCAGCAGCGACACGAGGAGGCTGGTTACTACAGACGTTCACGTTGCCGGAATCTCGTGCCGCCCTTTGGCCGCCATCGGTGCGCATGCTGGCGAAACTTCTGCAATCATCTGGATTCTCAACATCAAGGTCCTCATCGTTGAGCAGTCGGACTTGTTCGATGGGGCCATCTTGCAGAAACTGTTCGGAAGCAAATACATCTGGCAACCGATGGTCCTCGATGGGCCGGACTTTGGGCATCCTGTGCGGAGGAGCAGATTTTACGGAATTGGGCATCACAGAGAGAAGGTTGGACAAGCTATTGCTTCTGTGGCCAACATCATGCCAGCGTTCTACCGCGAGCTCGGCAAAAACTTCACCTTCCATGACTTCATGATTGTCCCGGCGGGCTCGGACGAAGCAAGGTCAGAGCTGGACTGGGCTCGCAATCGCAAGAAGAATGTGGCCAACACACGCCCCATCCAGCAGCTCCTTGCGCAGCCCCCTCCATTCGAGGAGACGCTGACGGATGCCGAGAAGAAGATCTTGAATGACTACGGGCAGGCGTATCCTCCCAACATGGTCTGCAGCCTAAATCAAAGGCCAGAACACAATCGCGGGATGCAGAACAATGGGCAGGTGATGTACACGATCATCCGTAACCCCTCGATCGATTTCAACACCTCGAAAAGGTATCGCCGCTGGCTCTTCCCAACCGAGTCGATGATCGCGCAGGGCCTGCCTGTCCTGTCGTGGATGACAAGTCCTAGTGGGTCTGCAAACAGGATTGCGACCTCCTACTCCGTGGGGACCATGATGACCCGCAACCGCCAGAGCGTCAAGCATCAGATTGGGAACACCATGCAGGTGATGGTCATCGGCAGCGCCATTACGTACGCCTTCCTCTTCACCGACTGGGAGACGCCCACCTTGACTCTCTGAGTCTGAACGGCAGCACGGTTGGCTTCGCTGTTCCACTGTTCCTCAGCTCCTCCTCCTCCATCCCTCGCCTCATTCTTATCCTCCTCCCCACCCTCCTCCTCCTCCTCCTCCTCCTCCTCCTCCATCTCCTCCTTCTCCTCCTCGTCCTCCTCGCAGAGGGATGCTGGGTGACAGGTAGGAAGAGGACACGAGTGTGGGAGTAGGGCACGGGCACTGCACTGCAAATTTAAACGTGGCCATTTTGGCCTTAGCTATCGTTCCAAACCACCAGTGTTTGATTCGGTCTTTCCCTAAGTAGTTAGATTTCAGGCACACGAACCTGTGTGGGAGATGCAAGGAATTTGGCCGAGTACAGGGCGCGCGGTGCTAAAGCTCCCGCGGGTGCTCGCTATACGAGCGTTGTCGGATCTAGTTCTCCAATGCTCCGCCCGCCCGCTCGTTGCAAGGTCCAGGTGGGGCAACCACCTTCGAGCGCATGAGCGCCTGCGTCGAGCAGAGATCGTCATTGCCAGCCGCAGCCATGGCGTCCAGCGTCCAAGGATTATGAGTGAAACTATCCTCCCTCTTCCCCTCTTCCCCTGTCCTCCTCGCCCTACGGTTCCGTCAATTGCTGAACTCGACTCGCTCGACTCGAACAGACTGTTCAGGGTCACACAGGCTCGGGGTTCCGTAGCAAGCTCTTCGGTTCCGATCCGACCTGGTAACGCCAGGTGCTTCAGAGGTCTAGCCCACATCCTTGGGCCTCCCTTACATATAATTTTGGCCCCGTTCGGTCTGGGCCAACTTCGCAACCATGATTGGGCATGCGAAGGGGAAGGCGATGGCGGCTGCTCTTCAGCAACACGGGGGGCCCGGGGGAGCTGGGGGCGACGGCGCTGCACCTGGCGCTGACCTTTCCACCCAAGCTCGAGCAATCAAGTACAGGAAGTGCCACACGGCGTTCGAGCGATACCCTGGCACCCCAATGGGAATGCACATGCTGGACAAGATCAAGCAAGACTCCTTGGTTCGTGCAGGCGTGCAAGCGGAGTTCTTCGACCCGGCTGGCCGCCGCCTCATCGTCCCACACGAGCTAAACGTTCGGAAGAACAACATCCAGATACAGCGCTTCAAGCGAAGCATCCTGAAGTACGGGAACATTCAAGGGGTCCGAGGTGGCGCGATTGCTGTGCTGTCTTCGGCTCCAGGCGAGAGCAATGGGATCCCCCCGTGGAGAATGCTTACCTATGGATCAGTCTCTCGCGCCGTGTACTTGGCGGTGGACGAGAACACGACGGATCCTGTCCAGAAGAAAAACGTCGAGGCTACGTTGTCGGCGGGCCTTGTCCTCGATGAGTACGAGAGCGCCATGCCGATCGACTGTGTGGAGCACATCCGCGACTTTTACAACACCTTCCACGGAGGGGTGGGGATAACCTTCCTCGAAATCATCGACAAAGTTGAGACTGCGGACTCGGAGTGGAAGGCCCCACGCGTGCGCGAACGGCATCGTCTTGGGGAAACAAGGCCGAGGGGACGACGGATGCGAAAAGCAGCTGTCCGACTTCCTTGACAAGCACTACAAGGAGATCTACGATACCCGGGGGCTCTTCTTGGCGGCGCGCAGCTTGATGAACACGTTGAAGAAGCTGGGTAATATGTGGCCCAAGTTCCAACATATTCTTGGAGACGAGTGCGATTTCCTTGCCCCCGGCTTGAATCACAAGATGATGCTCAAAATGCTGCACTACTGGAGCACGCAGGTGGCTAAGTTGATTGGAACAGTCCACTGGTCCACCGAGGACCTCGCCAGATTGTTCATCCAGGGCGCCAGGTTCATCTTCCCGACCGAGGACTGCCAGAATTGGCTCATCGACAGCATGAGCACCCAGAACCAGGACAAGATGAAGCTGATCGTGACTGAGATGGCTGACAGCATTGTGTACGCGGAGGCAAAGGCGAAGGCCGTCGAAGCAGCCAAGGCAAAGGCCAAGGCCACGCCCAACCCGCAGCCGCCACCTCACAAGAAAGCCAAGCAGTCCAAGACCGCAGACGCCGCGAGCAATGCGTCCAATCTCAAGCTGAAGGTCGCCTTGAAGAACGGGAAGGAGCTAGACGTTGTGTGGATCGACGACGTGCAGGTGATGTACGTCGAGGCTCGGAGCAACTACGAGGCGGAGGAGATCCCTTCGACGATGACGAGGCGATGGTCAAGGATTGATGGAAGAGAAGAAGTAGGAGGGAGAGGGGAGGAAATGAGGAGAGGAGGGTGGCGGGAGGGAGAAGGGATACCCCCGAGGGAAGCGGAGGTTCGTTTGTGCTTTACTGTTTTCGGCCCGAGTTCCCATTTCTGAAATTGGCTGTGGCCTACCTTTGGCCTGACTGAATCGTGAATGCGTGGGGGCGGGGGCAGCTGGGCAGGACCAGATCTACTCCACGAGCTTGTTGTTCTGTTGGAACACCAACATCAGCATAAGCGGGATGACCTTTACCGCCTGGTCAGTGCTGCGGCCGAAGTTGGCAGGCGCAATTACTTCTGCAAATGTCTCCGGGATCAAACAGTCCGATTCCGCCGCTACTCGAGGAGCCGGGGCCGCGTCGGCGTCGGCAGACGCATCTTCTTCAGAGTCGTCAGCGGGACTGTCAGCTGTTGGTGCAGCGCTGCTCCAGGTCCTGGGCAAGGTTACTGGGAAAGATGAGGTGACATCTCGTCGGAAGCTTTCGGGCCATACTTCGTCCATCCCTGTGACAGAGGAAGACATCACCTCCAGCGTGGCCATGCTCAAAGATCCCATCACAGCGTTCATGCAGGAGAACCCGCCCTCTATGAGGATCAAGTTCCATCCGTCTTTGACCCCGGCGAGTGTGAAGGTCGAGATGGCCGCCCAGGAGTTCAAGGACAAGAGCCTCAGCGAGCCGAAGACCCACCCATCCATCAGCGACTTGATGAAGATCATCGCGGCTGCGCTACCCTTCAGGCTCGAGTGGATGGACCTCGCAGCCGACATCACGGAGTTCACAGTGCAGCAGGGCGGTTTCCCAGGAGCGGCGGTGTCCGACCTCTTCGCAGACACACAAAGCACCACCGTCTTCGCGCTCCTCCGAGGTAAGTACGCCATGAGCATGCTACATCAGTTGGTCGCTAAGGATGAACAGTTCGGACAGTCCAGCCAGAACCCTGCGTCCAAGCACTTGTTTGATATCGTGATGGCCGTGCCGCCGCTGGACTCGAATCTGTTCCATATGTTGGGCGTCTGGGACATGAACCTGAAAGCCAAGTCGATCGACTACTGGGTGCAGGCATGGGCATCATTATTTGACGAGATTGTGAAAATTGAGAACGCCAGTCCACGCGATGCTCTTTGGCTTACCGTGGAGAAGCGTGCCAAGGGGGCCTTCAAAAGGAAGCTCTTCCCCTCCGGCTCACATGATTCCCAGCCGACGTCGGAGTCGCAACCTTCTCAATGGCCAGCTCAAGCTCCGCAAGCCGACGGTGCGCAGACCGCGCCGGAACCAGAGTCGAAGCCTGAGACGCAGGAGGATAACAAGCCTGAGACGAAGGAGAAGAAGACCACCACCGTCGATTCCATCGTGGGCTTCGACACTGTTAACACGTACATTGGCACCAACGTACTCGACGCAATGGAGCTGGAACGGGACACCGACTCACCAGTGATCATGATCCCGAAAAGCCATTTCCAAGCTGGCATGCTCAAAACGCTGTGCAAGGCAATCGAGTCGCACCTCTTCATCCGCGAGTTCCAGGTCCAGGCCAGCGCGTTCGACAAGATCAAGGTGGACAGCAGCAACGGGAGGGTCTACGCCGACGCTAAGCAGGACACGCAGTTCAAGCTGAGCGTCTGCGGCAACGTGACCTGTTTCAGGACCGACGGGTGTTTGCTGCTGGCGAAGCTTCACATCATGGACGAGGACGAGCTCGTAATGGTGCTTCCCTTGTGTGTGTCTCGTGAGCCTGCTGGAGATCAGATTACGCCAACTCCAGAGAGCGTCATCGTCGCTGCCTGGGGCGCGCGTGCGGTTACAAATGAGGTCCCCACGTGCAAACTCGTACGGGACAAAATCGAGATTCCCCTCCATCACCAGGCGCTCTTGATGGGTGGTATGGCCTAGCACGTGAGGATCAGCATGCCCTACTTGGTGCCCAACCAAGCCACGATGCAACAGATGCTCGACCGACTCCAGGAACAGGGCGCCTCTGCGTCCAGCGATGGCACGGTGGTGATCGAGCTCACCCAGATTCCCCTGGGGCCCGTCCGCCGCGGTGGCGCCAAAAGCAAGAGCAAGCCCGCGGGCCCGACAAGTTTCGGTATCAACGGCTTGGTTGGCGACATCAGTCGCCGCCAGAGTACAACTACCGAGGCCGCGGAGGAGAAGAAGCAGCTGGGCCCTGAGGAGCGCAAGGCACTTGCTAAAGCTAAGGCAGCTGCGAAGGCTTTCAAGGTCTCCGCGGGGCACTTGCTGAAGTAGGTGGGGCGAGCCGGGCTGGCGGTCAGCTTGATACTGCCTCAGGTCTGAGCGCAGACATCGGAGTTGCAGCATCGGTGTTGCGCTCGGCGTTGAGTGGGGTGGCGGCAAGAGCCCTTACTTTTTCCAGGCCCTCTGCTTTCCACTCTTCGGTCTCGATCCTTCGAACATCATGCACCTCCAATTCCAACACCTCCAACCTCCAACGCACCCCCACGCCACAACAGGTTTCTTTATCAGTTTGAGTGCTGCTCTGGACTGGATTATATCCCTACTTTTCAGGCTCAATCGGACGAACAAAACATGGGCAGCATCGGCAGCATCGTCATGGAGAGCAGAGGAGAGGAGAGGAGAGGAGGGGAGGAGAGGAGAGGAGAGGAGAGGCGAGGCGAGGCGAGGAGAGGAGATGACGAAAGAGGAGAGGAGAGGAGAGGAGGAGAGGAGGAGAGGAGAGGAGAGGAGAGGAGAGGAGAGGAAAGGAGACGAGAGAGGAGAGGAGAGAAGAGGAGGAGAAGAGGAGAGGAGGGGAGGGGGGAGAGGAGGAAGAGGAGAGGAGAGGAGAGGAGAGGAGAGGCGAGGCGGAGCGAGCGAGGCGAGGCGAGGCGAGGAGAGGAGAGGACGAAAGAGGAGAGGAGAGGAGAGGAGGAGAGGAGAGGAGAGGAGAGGACAGGAGAGGAGGAAAGGAGACGAGAGAGGAGAGGAGAGAAGAGGAGGAGAGGAGAGGGGAGGAGAGAAGAGGAGAGGAGGAAAGGAGAGGAGAGGAGAGGAGAGGAGAGGCGAGGAGAGAAGAGGAGAGGAGGAGGTGAGGAGAGGAGAGGAGAGGCGCGGCGCCCTTCCGCCGACCGACCTCCAATGAGCCTTCCCGGAGGCGACGCTGAAAGGCAGACTCCTCATCCTTCTCATCGTTCCCCCCTCATTTCCTCCTCCCTCGCTTCGTTCCTTCTGCTCCTGCACTGTTTTTTCCTGCTTACTCTGGTGATGTTAACTTTTATGCCCGCGAGCCGCAGCCCCACGAATGCGGCCCAACTAGGGCCAGCAGACCCCCCAAACAGCCCAAAGACAGCCCAGCCGAGAAGGGCAGGGCCAGCCAATTTAGGGCCCGTGGACGTGGAAGTGGACATCCTAATCCTTTCCTTCATCGTTTTCTTGTCCCTCTCCCCCAATCCCCCATCCAGCCATCGCATGTCCCCCCCTTCCATCGTCTCCAGTCGCAGCGGGAGCTCCCGCGGCAGAAAAGCACCCAGAACGAGCCCCTCCGTGACAGAGGGGGCCCATCTGATTGCTCCTTTGTGACAGAGGGGGTCGAAAAACACATTGTGCACTTAATGCGGTTTTTGGATTAATCCGCGAGTTTGCCTGCGTCACGTCGCCGGTGGCGGGGCGGAAACGCCCCCCAACCTACGCGGCGCAGACTCGCGCGCGCAGCGACCTGGGCCTCTGGAGGAGCGCCGATGTCGAGGGCCCAGTGGGAGCTGCTATGCCTCGGAGGCCTCCATCCTGATTTCTCCCCTGAGCGACGGCGGGTCCGGCGCTCGGAGTCGTCGGACTGCGCCAGATGCCGGGCGCCCCCTGCCGCGCAGGAGCTGCCGTTGGGACCTAGGCGTGGTCGCCGTGGATGCGCGTCTTGGCCGCGGGCGAAAATCCCCCATTGTGCAGGTGCGTGTCCAGATGAGAGCGCGCCCCAAAGCTCGGCTAACTTCTTGTCAGTCGCCCCCAAGGCCATGGAACCATGTCCAGCACCTGCCCCTGAACCGTAGATCTCACTCATCCGAGATCTGTTCCGAGGAAGCTCCTTTTGAAACTGTTTAAAGAAGACGTGGCGTGACTTCGTGGCCCCGAACCGTTCTTGGCTCTTAGCTCGCCCGCTTCTGCATGCCCCGCGCTGTCCTGGCGCCGGGCCGTCGCCGATGGGGGGCGACGGCGCTGCTGGCGAGAGACGGTCAGCGGCGAGCTAACTTCTTGGTCAGGCGGCGCAAGACGCCCCGGTTCGACGCGAAAGAGGCGGCCTTGTCTTGGCCTGGCTCCGCGCCGAGGCAGCCTCGGCAACAGCCCCCAAATCAGCAGCGGTCGAAGCGAAAATGCGGATGCCTAAGTCAGGGAGGCCGAACATTTTGACGGCGCCGTCGTCCACGTGGGGCCCGGGTTGCGGATGCAAGACTGATCACATTCGAACGCGGCATAGACTTCGACGAAAACTTATGAACATGCACGCTGCAGGCAAGCCTGATTCCGCAAACTGTGGCAGGGGGGCCACGGTGGGCTCCGAGTAGGAGCACCCTGGGGCCGCGGCAATGGGCGCAGAAGGATTCGGCGAGCACCCCAGGGGGGCCCCAGCACAACCCGAAAATATTCGTATAACTTTTGGCTATCCCAGATATACGCCGCCGCGATGTCACCACTACCGGCCGCTTCTTCAGCCAGCGGACGCGCTTCTGGGCGGTGGCCTCGGAGGATTGACCAGCCCCGAAAAACAAATCGGGCCTGGGGGCCCGCTCCAGGAAAGGTTCAGCCTCCGACCGCCTCGAGGGTTCCCAAACCCGAACTGGCGCCGACAAAGGTAGAATTGGCCGAAATCCACCTTTGGGCTTCTCTAAGATCGGCAGCAGCATCCGCGAGAGCTGCGACGGGAACAGGCCGAGGCGCTCGATGGCCTCGGATAGAAGCGACATCGCCGCCGAGCCTGTGCCACCAAGGAGACTGACGTGGCGGGCGCGCGAGGAATCTTCAGACCGCGCAGCGCGCGCGCCGAACGAACTTCGACGCCGCCGGCGTGCGATCGGGGGGCGCGCGTTCAAGACCACTGCGATCTGGGGCCCAGGCCGGCGGAGGAACAGACGCTGCCGCCCAGAGACTTCCGAGCTCGATCGATTCGGGCGCCGGGGCAACTCGCGCTGCCGCGGGCTGCCGCGCCCTCTGAAACTCGGCGAAATGGCGCGTGGAAAGAGCTGGCCCTCCAAGGGCGCCCTGTTCTAGCGCCCCGGCGAGCAACCGCCTCGCGCGCGCCACCAGACCGCCATTATGCAGCTGGGTGCCGCATCTCCCCGAGGGGGGCATCCAATCTGACGTTTCGACCCCCTCAAAGGCGAGAGTGCCGCGGCGGGCCCGCGAGGGCCACGACGCGGGACTCGCTCTCAACAGTATTCTCGGCGGCCAAAAGATGCTCGGCAAAAAATTGCCGAACCGCCGCCGGCCTGAACAGATCTGGAGCCGATCTTCTGCGCATTTTGGCCGATGGAAAACCGGCGCCCGCGATGACCTCGCGGCGTTCCCGCGCCGGCCTCAAGCGTTGGCTTCGACGCTCAAGAACTGCGCCGGCTCGAACTCTGCGCGACCAGCGGTATATCCGACCAACGACTGCCCCGCGCGTCGCCGGCGAGGCTGCGTCGAGCATGAGCGGCAGCATGCGCTGCCAGGTGACGCGCCCCCCCCAGGCGCACCCCATCTGGTCGAGGTCCAAGGGGCAGCTCTAGAAGCTGACACGTATGAAGACAACTTGCCGAGAGCAAAATGCATCGGGGCGGATCGCCAGATGCATTGACGGGCTCGGTTTGATCGCCCAAAGCGCATCAGCGGCGACATCTTGGGCCAGACGAGCAACGCCGGGGCGCGCCAGGAAGACATCTATAATGGGACTAGACGAGGGGGGCCTGCGCGTCGGCATCCTCGTCTCGGCATCCTCGGCGACATCGCGAGAGCGCCGAGATTTCGAGCGACCCCAAGACCTTCTAGAACCTCGGAGAACACGTTGGAATCGCCCGCCATAATCGAGTGAGCCGGGCCCGACGCCGAGCGGCCCGCGTGGGCAGGGGCCCCGTATTGCTGGGGCCCGAACCTTCCGCCGACTCGAAAGAAACCGAAAAGCGACCGCGCAGGCCGCCCTGGGAATTCCAACATATGACGTGACGCCATAGGAGGACCACCTTCCGAAAGCCAGCGGGGCCCAATGCTCAATCTGCCGAAAACAGCCACCCTGGCCGACATCTTGCCGGCGCCTGGACTGGGCCTCCCTTCGGAGGGGGGGCGGGGGCACCTGCGCAGGAAAAAAAGATCCCGCAATGCTTTGGAGCCTGGCCATTGAACGCACCGACGCCCGCACTTGCGATTCTCAACTCAAGGCCCAATCTTTTTGACGTGGGCCGAGAAGACGCGTTTTTTATCGCTACTGGCCCGGACAGCCGCGCCGAGCTGGTCGACGCCCTCATCTGTAAGTTAATCGAAATCATCGAAGTCCATCGGGGCCGGTTGGTTCTCACCACCATTGGCCCCCGAAAGGGGCCGCTGCACCTGGGACAACTCCAAAGCGGGGATGGGGGGGGGGGGCGAGCTGGGCGGGGGGCGGTGACTTGAGCAGCCTGCGCCTTGGACTGGGCCTCGCAAAATTTCTGGTGCTCCGCGAGGTGTGGGGAAGCAGCGAGCTGCTGCACCTCATGGTTGTCCTTGAAGGCGTCCCTGCCCAGCGCGCGGGACCGTAGAACTCGTGGGACTCGGCAGCACCTGGGCCATGGTCGTGTGGAACTCAAGATTCGCAGCCTCGCTCTCCACGCGCACCAGTCAAGTCTTATCCTGCATCGACTGCAACTCCTTGGTCGCTGCCTCGGTGAGAGCCTACTGGGACTTGATGGTTTCGCCAAGACGCTCGAGTTTGGCACTGGAGCGCTGCAGCTTGTGCCCCATGGCCGTGTGTCGAGACAACGAGGTTTTCATTATGTTGAATTCCTTCCGCACGTCAGCCAACTCTTTCTCCATGGACTCCTTGATGGAGGCAGGGGGCGGTTAATCATTGCGTATTCCGTGGGTTTGGGGCTCCAGGGACTTGATCTTGGCCAGCAGCGCTCGGCCAGCCTCATTGGCCACGGCCTCTGCGCCCCCATCTGTTGCATCTGGGGCGGCGGCGGTAGTCGCACAATTCCTGGGCTGCCGAACTGCTTGGCGAAGATCTCAATCTGCTTGTGTAGCTGACCGAGCTGGTGCACAGCAGACTATGTATGATCACCTGGAGGACCGCGAACCCATGCACCACCAGGCGAACGAAACGATGCAACGTTGGGCAAAAACTTGATTTCCGCTGCCTTCTTCTTGACGCGGTCGACTATGTCATGTGGAGCGCTCTTGCCGCACAGACGCTTGATGCGGGACACGAAAATCGAATTGCGCCCACACGACGGACATCCCCGCAACGGTTGATTGGGACCTGGGAGGACATCGGGATCCTGTCCCATGCGGCAGCACAGGACACAAGATAATGCTCTTGCAGGAAGTTTCTGGACGACGAGGGATGAGGCCTCTTGGCCTGAACACCGAAACAGATGGCCCGCCACAGCGATTTCCTCTTTGAAGACGGCTGTTTCAAACGCAGGCCAAAAAACCTGAACAAGAACGGCTGGAGGAGGAGGAAGAGGAGGAACATGATGAGGAGAAAATATGTTAGGAGGCAACTACTGGGAGGTTTTCGTCGGAAGGATAAAGGAATATTAAGCCCCATTTCGGAGCTGTTACGCCGGAGTGGGCCTCGGATTAAGCGGGATTAAGCCGGATTAAGCGGGATTAAACCAGATTTCGGACCAGGGCAAAATCAGAATTTGACCTCCCAGGATTTGCGTCCGAAAAGATGGGGAGGAGGAAAACACACGTCATGAGGAGGAAGAGGCGAAGGAGCAGGAAGAGGAGAAAAAAGGAGGCGGAGGGAGGAGGATAACGCACGATGATGGAGGCGGGAAGTGGAAGATGCGAAGGGAAAAGGAGGAGTGACTCAGGAGAAGGGAAGGGAAGGGATGCGGAGGAGGGAGACGGAGGAGAGAGCGGAGGCGAACACGGCCGCGGTGCCGGGAGCGCGAGTTCCACGTCCTCGCATGTGGTCGTGGGGTCGATCACCGACAGCCCGCTGGCAGGGGGCGCCGCCGCGGCGCCCTGCAGGAACGCCGCGTTGGTACCGCCCTCGAAGAAGAAGGTGCCTGCCGCGAGCATTGCCCCCCGCGTCCACCTCCCTCCTCTTTCCTTCTCAGGACTCCTCCCCCGTTTCTTCCTCGTCCTCCATCCCTCCTCCTTCGTCCTCTTCTACTCCTTCGTCCTCCTCCCTGCTCGTTCATTATTCCTTCTCCTCCTCCTCCTCTTCCTCCTTCTTCTCCTTCTCCTCCTCCTTCTCCTCCTCCTCCTCCTCCCTCCTCCCTCCTCCCTCCTCTTCCTCCACCTGCCCAGGCGCCGCGCCATTCTCAGACCCACCCCCCGTGAGTTCTGGCCACTTGTCGAGCGTGTCCGGTGGGAGCTCGGGCGAAGGAGCCAGTGCGCGCCGCGTGGACGCCGCCCGGAGGCCATAACACTTCTGGCCGCAGTGGCCGCGCACTGCGACCCTGGAAGCCAGTCGCCTAAGGCACGACCAGTCTGGCACTGTGCAAGTCTTCGGTGGCCTCCTCCTCCTCCTCCTCGGCCACCTCCTCCTCCTCCTCCTCCTGCTCCTCCTCCTCCTCGGGAGCTGGGGGGGTGCAAGAAGGGGGGGGGAGGACGAGGAGGAGGAGGAAGAAATGGAGGAGGAGGAGAAGGATGAGGAGGAGGCGCAGACTGGGGGAGGAAGGGTAAGGTGGAACTGGGGAGGGGGTGAGACTGGCGATACCGCGATGGATCGACGATGACAACGAGTTCGCCCTGGGAGCATGTTTTCCGCAATTCACTCACTCTGTGTCGGCCGTCAGTTGGCTTTAGCCAGGGGGGCAGGAGAGAGGAGGACAAGGTTGAGAAAGTGGTACATGCACCAAGAGAGTCAAACGGCGTCCTACCGTTCGATTGGGTCTCCATGAATATGCACGCGTGCGCACGAGGCCTTATCATCTGCAATCCGCCAACGCGCTCACTCGATTAGGGCGCATTCGAATCCTTGTTGGTTGTCTGGTGGAATTTCTGAAATTTTCCCGGGCCGCCCTGTACCGCGACTGGCCTGGTAAATTGCCTCCGAGCATTGCTCCCTTGCGCCCTCCCGACTTCTAGTAGGCGACTCCAAGAGAGCCGAAGACCACCTCGAACGACTTCAGGACGCCCAGAAAAAACGATCCACTAACGGCCCCATGAACTCCCAAATGTTCCCACATCTCCCAAAAATGCCCCAACTACACGATTTAAAGAAGCCTCCAGCGGTGCACTGTGAGACTGAAAGCATTGGACATCACAAGGAACATCAGTGTGCGTGTGTATGTGTTTGGCTTCCGGCACATCGGGAAAATTTCATGGAGCATCAGGAAACTTCCAACACGACACTAGAAAACTCAAAGAGCCCAAGACCGCCCCCAAGGACCCCAAGACAGCCGCAACACCCGCCCAGACATCCCTGAGATGGTTCAACCGAGCCTCCTCGGGAGAGCCCGGTGGAACTGTCATGCCCTGGGACGTCCCCGAGACCCCTGACGGGCCCCAAGACGGCTTCGAAGAAGAACCCCGAACAGACTCCGACGTGCCCTCAAGGAGAACAACACAGGGGGGCGCGGGCAGGAGAAGGAGGAAGAGTGCGGAATGAGGAGGGACGAGGAACGCGAGGCCAGCTCAGACGGGGCGCCGACTCGGAACAGGTCTCCGGCTCGACCTCCTTCCTGCTGCGCTGCTGCGCCAGCGTGGCGGCGAGGTCTTGCCGCAGGCCACAGGGGAGGGCCGCGCCTGGGCCTCCCTGTGGGCCGCGCCCCGCTGCCCCGTCAGAGGGACGGGCCGGCCCGTGCACCGACGTGATCAGGGAGCCGCACCCCGATCGGCTGCACGCAAGAGTGGCCCCAGACAAGAGTGACCCTTGGTGCGCGGCGTGCGGGGGGCGCGGGGAGGCCAAATCCAAGCAGGCAAGATGCCACTATCGCATGGCGCTCGGCGATCGGGGGACCCCAGTTGGCCCGCACCAAAGCTCACCCCAACACCCCAACGACGGGTCACTCTTACGTGTAGTCGACCCGAGGTCCTGCTCGGAGATGCCCCCGTCGCGGCAGAGACAGGGAGGAAGTTCGCCCGGCGAAAGACCGAAACCCCACGAAGCTGCGTGCAGGGTGTGGCCCTCTCTTCGTCTTCGACGCGCTGCGGGGACAATTGCGCGGAGGCGCGTCGAATCCTCTGTTGAGCAAGATCACCGCGCGGGCAGGGCGCCGAAGAGGGCGGAGGGCGGCATGCCAACTCAATCGCTGGGGCCGCAGGTGGAGCTACCGGTGGGGCACGATCCGCGCGTGAAGGATGTGCCGAAATTGGGAGGGGGTGCGGCAATTGGACGGGGGTGCGGCATGCGGACTGTGTCGCAGAGGGAGCCTCCTGGCTGGCACGGGACGTGTGCGGGATAAGCCGAAATTTGAAGGTTGGTGACATGTGGATTATGTGGCTGTGGCCGCAGGAAGAGCTTCCTGAAGGGCGTGAATCGTGATGGGTGTGCCAGCATGGGCTGGGATGGCGGCATGGTAACAAAACTGTTTGAACCGTGTAGGTGGATGCCCTAAAGGGGGCATGAACCGTGAGAGGGGTGTGCCCACACTTGTCGTGGGCTGCATGCGAGCTGCGTCGCCAGGCCGTGGGTGGAGTTCCCGAGGGGCACGAAACGTGCAAAGGGCATGCCGACATGGACTGGGGGCAGCATGCGGGCTGTGTCGCCAGGCCGTGGGTGGGACTCCCTGAGGGGCACGAGACGAGTAAGGGGTGTGCCGACGTGGGCAGGGTGGCGACACGCGGACTGTGCCTCTTGGGCCGTGGATGGAACTCCCTGAGGGGCACGAGACGAGTAAGGGGTGCGCAGACATGGGCGGGGGGGGGGGGGCACGCGGACTGTGCCGCTTGGACCGCAGGCGGAGTTTCCTTGGTATAGGGGCACGAGACGAGTGGGGGGTGCAGAGGCGGGAGGGGGAGGCGGGAGGGGGAGCAGGGAAGTGGGGCGCGGCGTATTGAAAGCGAGCACCCGACAAGTCAGGAAGGCCCACGCGCTCACCCGTTTGGAGATTGCGACGGGGGCTAAACGACAAGGGAGAGCTGCTGGTCGGTCGGCTGGCTCCGCCGCTTGTCCCGCATGAAATCCCACAGGGCCTCCCCGAACAGCCTGCTCCGCCTGCCCTTCTTCCCCTGGCCGACGTGGAACGGCCAGGTGTGGGCGAGGTTGTGGGTGCACTGGTGCACAGGCGCACCACAGCGGTCTCCGAAGGGCATCACGCACGACCACCCCGTCTTCAGAGGAAGAAACACTGCATGCACACAAAACCTTCGCAGTTACGCGTGGATTTCTTGGATCGGCGCTGGGCCCACCTGGCGGCGTATCCAGCGCCGCCCCTGACGCGCTCCACTCGCCAAGGAAGGCTGTCCAACGCCAACCCAAGAAATCCGTGCGGAGCTTCGAAAGCTCATGTTTGTGGAGATGTTTGTTCCCCGAGTCTTCCCATCATGGCGCGTGGGTGCCTGCGTCGGCTTCCCGTCGGCGGGGCACCCGTTCGCGGTCGCCCAACGTGCCATGATCTCGTGGACGGGGTGGTACAACCATCCGTCGTCGCCGACAGTGCACCCGTTGCGGCCGGCTCTGTCGACTGGGCATCCCGTCCTCTTATACTTCCCCCACGAATTGGACACATTGGCGGGCACACAATCGTCGCGAATCCCGTGGATGTCTATCACGGGCATCGGCACCTTTGGCGGGTCGAGGAAGCCGAGAATGAAGGAGCCCTCCACGGGAACTATGGACGCCAACTGGGGCCCAACCGACGCTGTTGTGGCAAGATAGTATAAGAAAATAGCCCCGTTCGACATGCCTTCGAAAATGAAGAAACTTTATGAACACAGATGTTGAGCAGGACTGGACATCCAGAAACCTTTCTCGGGAATTCCTTGCCCAAGAGCGTTACAAAAAATTACCCTGGCGACGTACCCAACCCTTGCGCAATGCGGGGCATAACTACATCAGGATTGCTACAACGGGGGCGATGACGTAACATGTACGCCTGTGATTTTGCGAGCAGAAATCGGAAGGCTCGCAGGCCCCCGATCAAGATATAATAAGGGCGTCGTAGTGGTTACTAACGCAGCCCCCCCAAAGACGGCGAGGTCTCGCTCAGGTCCCCGCGGTGCCTCACTCCGCTGGACCCAAGAAGCAGCCCTCGAACGTGGCGACAGTGTCGCAGATCGCAGCCCCCCAATGACGGCGAGGTCTACCTCAGGCCCCCGCGGTGCCTCACTCCGCTGGACCCACCAGCAGCCCTCGAAAGTGGCGACGGTTTCGCAGATCGCAGCCCCCCAGGGACGGCGAGGTCTACCTCAGATCCCCGCGGTGCCTCACTCCGCAGGACTCACCAACAGAAAGCGGCGACAGCGTCGCAGATCGCAGCCCCCCCAAGCACGGCGAGGTCTACCCAGTGCCGCACTCCGCAGCCCCACAGAGACGGCGAGGGCTACCTCAGATCCCCGCGGTGCCTCAGTCCGCAGGACAAACGTGACAGTGTCGCAGATCGCAGCCCCCCCCCAGGCACGGCGAGGTCTCGCTCTGATCCCCGCGGCGCCTCAGTCCGCAGGACCCACCAGCAGCCCTCGAAAGTGGCGACACGATCGCAGATCGCAGCCCCCCAGGGACAGCAAGGTCTCGCTCAGATCCCCGCGGTGCCTCAGTCCGCAGGACCCACCAGCAGCCCTCGAAAGTGGCGACGGCTTCACGGATCGCAACCCCCACCAGGGACGGCGAGGTCTACATCAGATCCCCGCGGTGCCTCACTCCGCTGGACCCACCAGCAGCCCTCGAAAGTGGCGACCGTGTCGCAGATCGCAGCCCCCCAGGGACGGCGAGGTCTACCCCAGATCCCCGCGGTGCCTCACTCCGCTGGACCCACCAGCAGCCCTCGAAAGTGGCGACAGTTTCGACGCCCCCCCAAGGACGGCGAGGTCTACCTCAGATCCCCGCGGTGCCTCACTCCGCTGGACCCACCAGCAGCCCTCGAAACTGGCGACAGTGTCGCAGATCGCAGCTCCCCAGGGACGTCGAGGTCTACCTCACATACCCGCGGTGCCTCACTCCGCGGGGGCCACCAGCAGCCCTCGAAACTGGCGACAATGTCGCAGATCGCAGCCTCCAAGGACGGCGAGGTCTACCTCAGACCCCCGCGGTGCCTCACTCCGCTGGACCCACCAGCAGCCCTCGAAAGTGGCGACAGTTTCGCAGATCGCAGCCCCCAGGGACGGCGAGGTCTACCTCAGATCCCCGCGGTGCCTCACCCCGCTGGACCCACCAGCAGCCCCCGAAAGTGGCGACAGTGTCGCAGATCGCAGCCCCCCAGGGACGGCAAGGTCTACCTCGGATCCCAGAGGTGCCTCACTCCGCTGGACCCACCAGCAGCCCTCGAAAGTGGCGACAGTGTCGCAGATCGCAGCCCCCCAAGGTCGGCGAGGTCTACCTCAGATCCCCGCCGTGCCTCACCCCGCTGAACCCACCAGCAGCCCTCGAAAGTGGCGACAGTGTCGCAGATCGCAGCTCCCCAGGAACGGCGAGGTCTACCTCAGATCCCCGCGGTGCCTCACTCCGCTGGACCCACCAGCAGCCCTCGAAGGTGGCGACAGTGTCGCAGATCGCAGCCCCCAAGGGACGTCGAGGTCTACCTCACATCCCCGCGGTGCCTCACTCCGCGGGGGCCACCAGCAGCCCTCGAAACTGGCGACAATGTCGCAGATCGCAGCCTCCAAGGACGGCGAGGTCTACCTCAGACCCCCGCGGTGCCTCACTCCGCTGGACCCACCAGCAGCCCTCGAAAGTGGCGACAGTTTCGCAGATCGCAGCCCCCAGGGACGGCGAGGTCTACCTCAGATCCCCGCGGTGCCTCACCCCGCTGGACCCACCAGCAGCCCCCGAAAGTGGCGACAGTGTCGCAGATCGCAGCCCCCCAGGGACGGCAAGGTCTACCTCGGATCCCAGAGGTGCCTCACTCCGCTGGACCCACCAGCAGCCCTCGAAAGTGGCGACGGTTTCGCAGATCGCAGCCCCCCAGGGACGGCGAGGTCTACCTCAGATCCCCGCGGTGCCTCACTCCGCTGGACCCACCAGCAGCCCTCGAAACTGGCGACAGTGTCGCAGATCGCAGCCCCCAAGGACGGCGAGGTCTACCTCAGTCCCCGCGGTGCCTCGCTCCGCTGGACCCACCAGGAGCCCTCGAAAGTGGCGACAGTTTCGCAGCCCCCCCAGGGACGGCGAGGTCTACCTCAGATCCCCGCGGTGCCTCACTCCGCTGGACCCACCATCAACCCTCGAAAGTGGCGACGGTTTCACAGATCGCAGCCCCCCAGGGACGGCGAGGTCTACCTCAGATCCCCGCGGTGCCTCACTCCGCTGGACCCACCAGCAGCCCTCGAAGGTGGCGACAGTGTCGCAGATCGCAGCCACCCAGGGACGGCGAGGTCTACCTCAGATCCCCGCGGTGCCTCACTCCGCTGGACCCACCATCAGCCCTCGAAAGTGGCGACAGTTTCGCAGATCGCAGCCCCCATCGTCGGCGAAGAGAGGGCAGGAGGAGGCGGGAGGCGGGAGTCGGGAGGAGGAGGGACGCGACCACAGTGCTCTATTCAAAACGAATACCCAACCAAGGAGGGTTGGGAAAAATAGCGTTATCCCCAGGAGCTGGTTCTAGGACCGATTCTAGGAGTCGGACCTGCTCACCCTCTTATGTTCGCAAAATTCCCTCGCCGGACCTGTGCCGTGGATGCGCTCCGTATCCAAGCAGAGCTCGTTTTTCAAGTGCGTCAACAACGCACTCACGAAACCGACGTCATCAGCGCAGCCCGAACACCCGCAATCTCGCCGCATGCCCTCGTTAATCTTGCACACGCCCGCGCGGGCGCAGCTGCGGTAACACGGATACTTACTGTGATCTTTAATGCAAGTCTGGCCGTACAAGCCGGCGTCGCTCCCACTCGTGCCTCCGCCGTTCCACGAGTTCCACCAATCCGAGGGGTCGTCTGGGTTGTCCGCCAGTCCGTTGGGGTACGCGACAGCGAATCCTTCCAGCTCGGCGGTCCAGTGCACACCGTCCTCGTGAGCCTCGCTATCATCGTCGTCGTAGAAGCCGTGAAAATCCAGCAAGAGCGGCATGGGAGAATCTGGGTTGTAAGCCTTGGGCACGTAGAGTGCGTACTGGCGGCGTCCGACAGGGTGGAGCGGATCCTCGGGCCCGTCAGATCGGAAACCCCGCCACTGGCCTGCCCTGGCGCTCGGGATCGTCAGAGGTAAACAGACACGGGATGGCGCCCAACCTCAGATCGGACACCCCGCCACTGGCCAGCCCTGGCGCTCGGGATCGGCACAGAGAAACAGACACGGGATGGCGCCCAACCTCCAAGCCGATTCACGACTTGATGTGTATACGGAACACGCGAGGCCGATCGGTGACTCCGCCGCCGTTGTGATGCCATCTGGGAGAACTCGCAGATGGCAAGGATTACTGTCCTGCCCCACCCAGAAAAGTCTTTACCTCCTTTGCTGACCAGACCTCGTCTTTTTCTTCTGCTTGAACTGTGGGGGTCTTACTTATGTTTCAAACTATTGACTGGCGTCGCTAAGTTTTCGGCCAGTGTTCGCCAGTGGTCGCCTCGTCAGCGCCTCGTGCGCTGGCTGCACGTGCTCCACATGGGGTTGCACCGTACAGATTGCACCACATGGGCGACACCATGTAGACTGCACCACTTAATTGACATCATGCTCAGATAACACTACGTACGTACTTTGCACTCCTCAACGCACCGCACAGAATGCACCACAACGACTGCATCGTCCTCGCCGGAGTCGCGTCGCCGTCGTTTTTGGAGGTCTCCCCAAGGGGGCCAGAGTAGATGAGGTCAGAAGTTCGCGACGCATTGCCGATGTATCGGCGACGGCGGGATGGAGAAACGCGAGCTCCAAATCTCGTCGTATCGCTGCACCAACCACGCGGCACGATCCACCGACCCTATCTACTCTTGCCCCACGTGGCCGGTTCCAGAAACTCTGATCGCAGCAATACTGACGTCTCTCTTGTACTTTTACTCCCACCACCTTCCGCCCACCGCGCTCACACGCAAGAGATTGCCCATGTGCAAGGGTGGCCTTTGGTGCTCGGCTCTAGGGAGCCGCGGGTGGGCCAAACCCAAGCGCGCAAGCCAGTGCTCGGGGGAGCCATGTGAGCGACGAAAAGAGAGGGGTTCACGCGATATGCCATAGCGACCCTTCGCTGTGGCTTACGCGGGCCGCCAGTGCGGCACGCCACACTGGAAACGAGGGCGCTTACGCGCGACCTTACGCGGGCAGCGTACGCGCGAATGCCAGCACAGGCGAGCCCGTTCTCCTGCGTCGCTCGTGTGGGCCAGCACGACAGGTCACTGCGGCGAGAGGTCACTGCTCGCGCGTGGCCGCCTACCTCCCGCCGAGCTTCTGCCAACGGGCCCGCCGCCTCCTTCCGCTGGCCTGCCGCCGCCGAGGGGCGAGGCCCTTGCTGCAACGCCCCACGCGGACTGCGCCACATAGATCGTGCCACATTCGATGATCCTCAGGACGTGTGTTAGCGCCAACGTGTGCTTGCCCATCGAGGCCTTGCGACACGACGAAGGCGCTGTAATGGTCTACCAGTTGGGCTGGACGGGGCAACACACACACACACACATTGGGCTAGCACGCCTACTGAGGATCATCGGGGTACGGATCACAGAACATGCGGCGTGCACCTCCACACAGGCCGCATCGTCCTCGCTGCCGTCGCGTCGCCGCTGTCCTCGTCGTCGCCGCCGTCTTTGTGCGCCGAATGCGAGGCCCTTCCTCCGATGTCGCATTGTGGCATGGGCCCATGGGGATCTCGACCCCTTCCCCCGGGCCAACTTTTCACCCTCAATCCTTTCTGAACGGCCCCTGGGGCCGGGAACCAAAAGCCGCAGACTTCTTCAAACCGGCCGTTGCGACTTCTTTGCGTCGCCCTGGCCTGAGGTAGGCGCGCTCCAAGTGGGTACTGAGAACATCGACAAAACCGACAGCGGCCGCCGTTTGGCAGGTGACCTTCTGTCCCAAATGGACAGCATCCGCGGCGACGCCGACAACGACTCTTATTCACGCTGGGCAAGACGATGCCACAAAATGATCAAATCTGACCGGGACAGATCCGAGATCTCTGAGATCTGGCTATTCTGGAGGATGCATCCACCGCAGCCTTCTCAAAGCGTTCCGGAACGCTCTGGAACGACTTACCCCTGACCAAGCCCCACTCGAAAGAATTGCTGTCCGTCTTCGTCTTTTTTTCCGTGCCGAACTTCGTTCGTACAGACGGGCCGCCGTCGTCGCCGGCGCCTCTCGCCAGCAGTCCTCGAAAGCCAGGTTGAGCACGCCAGACAAGCTACCCCTCCGCACGCCGCGCGGCAGCGGGCGTCCGCAACCCGCGCTCGCCACCGCCGCGTGGTCGCCGCCGCCGTGAATGCCCTTCGGGGTCACAATTTTTGTGTGCTTGCTGTTCTTTTTGTTGGCCCGGAGAAACAAACAAAAAAAACCCGACCCCCCGCTCATCGGAGGAACTTGCCACGCTTCCTGCACAGGGGCCGGGGCGGAAGCGATATCATCGGCATCGGCAACGGCCCGCGACCCAAGATCCTCTGGGCGTGACGGAGAAGCAGGAGGGTTCCGACGACGGGCTTGTTATGGATCGGGAAAAACTCCCCCGCCAGGCGCTCAGAGCTGGGGTCCTACCCGAGATGGGTGGAGGGAGACTGGCGTCAGCTTCAATTTGGGCTCATTTGAACATACTCTGGGGCTTCTGCGGAGTTCCTTTGAAAGTGCTGTTGCACACCCTTGCTTTAGGAACGATTGGAGTCATGACATGAGCAAACACAGCATCATTATGTTCGTTGGATGAGTCTAACAATGATAACCCTTTTAGATATGAACTATTACTTACATTCTCTATATAGTATTCACGTAACCGGTGGGTCATTGTTGCAGACATGTGCAATTCTATCGCGGTAACCGTCTGCGATATCCTCTCAGAAGGTTCTCCAGTAGGATCCCGTGAAATAGTCAATGTTAGCATTCGGGTCGCCATGGGGATTCCCTATGTCCACGCGACCCCTCGTCCTCAAAATTCCTTTTGAATCCTTTGGGGTTTCGTTTTTGAAATGCCGCTGCGATTCATTATTCTCTGATTCCTCGCAACTAAACTGTATTTTCATTGAGTGCAAGTGTACGTGCTAAGGGTATTGCCGGGACAACACCACCGAACATACTGATGTTCTTAAGTTTTACTGTTGGTGCTATCGATATGGCCGGGAGAAAGTACTGTTTGCTTCCAAGGATGGTGCATATTTCGGAGGAGGAACAGAAAACTGCGGAGATGACGCGAGACCGCAAAGTCGGCCCATGAACTCGGTGGGCGCCCTCTGGGGTCGTGGTGGTGGTCGTTCTTTCTACGACAAACCCTCACAACACTCGAACACAACACGTCACACTCATATGTACTAACCTGTGCGAATCATCTCCTGTCAGCCTGGCAGGCTGGCCGAAGACTTAGCTTGTTGCTGAAGCCTCCTTTGAAATAGCTAAGCGATGCGACTGATGAGGATGTAGTGTGGTAGCCAATTGAACGGTCGAATCATGCCAAACGCAAACCGTCGTAGAATAGCTGGATGGCCCAGCTTGGTTGGGTCAAACAAAGCCTTTCCGTGGAAACTCTGCGCACGAACGAGGCCGTCGGAGAATGAGGATGAGAAGAGGGATGAGGAGCGATGAGGGAGGGGGATGGGGAAAGAGTAGTGTGGCAAGGGGGCGGGGCATAATTTGCGAGAGAAGGAAGGGGAGTGGAGGCGGTGGCGGAGGAGGGGGGGAGGAAGAGAAATGAGGGGAAAAAAGGGTGGAGGGAGGGATGGATGAGAAGAGGACGGGAGGAGAGAGGAAAACGAGGAAGAGTTCAGAAAGGATGAAGGATGGAGGAGTACGACGAGGAAGAGGAATCTAAAAATTGAGGATCAGTAAGGAGGGAGGCCTGAGGAAGGGGGGAGGGAGAGGCGAGGAGGAAGGTCTGACGAGAAAAACGGGGATGAAGAATCTTTCTCCTACCCCCCTCGAACCTCAAACCCTTCGACCCCCCCAGCCCCAGAAAGAACAGCTTGAAGAAACGTTGGGAAACCTCTCATCCTCCACTCTGGGATGAGACGCAAGAGGAGAACGAGGAGGAGGAGGCGGGAGAACGTACGAATTTACAAAGAGGATGAAGAATGAAGAGCGAGGAAGAGGAGGAGAAGGCGGAGCTGGATGAGGACGACGACGACGACTGACGGTCACGACTGACGGCGGCGACGGCGACTGACGACGATGGCTGACGGCGGCGACGACGAAAACGGAAGTTGACTTAAGACGACGATTGCCTACGACGACCGACGACGCCAACGACCGACGACCGACGACGACCGACGAAGACGACCGACGGCCTGGCTGACCGACCGACTGGCCGAGGACGACGACGACTGTTGGCCACGACGACCAACGGCCGACACGACGATGAACAGCGGAAGACACGGCGACACTCGGTGGTTCAAAGATGGGGTCCTGCGGGATGGGGTGCTGAGGATAGGAAGGGATCGAAGGGCGGAACTATATTGCTTGAGGCACCACGTCCTGAAGACCCCATCCTTTAGGACCCCATCTTTGCACCACCGAGACACGACAGCGCGGTCGCCAGCGCGGCAGGCGGCGGCTCGGCCAGGGCGCGCGAGATGCCCAGCGCGGCCAGCGGCGCGCCCCATGGCTGCCGGGCCCGCGCGGCGCGCAAGGGCATCTCGTCAGTGACCGCTGCCCGCCTGGGGCATGTCCCGGATCTCCGACGATATGACTGTTGCCGTCTGGGCGTTTGCCTCTGGGGCCACTGCCCGTCGGTCGGAAGCAGTGGGTAGAAACATGAGGTAGGAAGGCGTTGAGGGTAGATTGGGTCTCCGCCCGCTTCCGCAAGACTCAAGAGGAAGGGATGGGACAACCAGTCGTTGATTGAAGCAGGAAGGCGCCTGAAATAGATTGGGATCTGGGAATCTAGAGATACTTACTTTCGACGACCGATGGGTAACCGGGTCCCAGGACCGCAGCCAACGGATCCTGGGCGCAAAACTACCCCTGGTGGAGGGGTCAGGACCTCTGAGGCCGCGGACTGAACAACAATCATTCCGGCGGATGTTTAGGATTGATAACCCAGCCATGCGATGTCCCCAGGCTGGTTGTTCATCCTGAATCGTTTTTGACGGTCCAGGGGCCCGGTAAGGGCCCACAGAGGCCGAACAAAACGAACAACCTTCCGTCCTGATTCGCTCACGACGCGAGCATGTCGGGTGGCCTCAACCAACTCCCGTCGGCGACGCGTTCCGCGCGCTGGGAGCTCTTCAGGGCCACAGCGGCTGCGGCAGTCCTGCGCGCGCGCGGTGCAGCGCGACGGCAAAGCAGCTGCTGAGGATATGATGATCATCGCACCCCCTTGGATCCGCGGGGGGTGGGCGTGCTGCGTGCTGTAGGAATGGGTGGACGGGGGGTTGGAGGAGGAGGAGGAGAAAGTGGAGGTGGAGGAGGAAGAGAGGGAGGTGGAAGAGAGACTGGGGGGATGGGACGCGGAAGGACATATCAGAACTGTGTGCCCTCCTTGGTGGCGCGCGTCCGACCAAATCATACAGTACAACCATCTTACGGTATGTCCTTGCCCCGACGGTGTGGCCAGAAAACGCCCACCACCGAGCATGTACTACAATCTTTTCACACATGTTCCTCGCTCGCTCGACCCTGGAAGTGTTTGTCGCCACCATCGCGGCTAAGGTGGCGATCAGGGGGGCTCTGGCAATCACGCGCCTGCGAAAGGGGGGTCCAAGGTCCAGAGGCCCCTCGCGCGACCGAGGCCGGAACCAACTAGCTTAAGACGTGCCACACCCAATCACATGGGTGCTCACCCGCCCCCGAACCACTCTCCTACTGTACATCCCCGTCCAGGCTTCCGCGGCGCGGGCAAACGGCCCTCACTGGTACGCTGGCGGTCAGGCGGGGTGGTGGCAGGTGCCCCAAAACGGCTGTGGAAGCTGAGGCAAGAGAGTGCAGCAGATGAGGAAGAGAGGATAAAGAGGAGGAATATAGAAATTAATATAAAAAAAAAATATACATGCAAAGGGTGCCCATTCCACTGACAACTACTTATCCCTGCCCCTTCTGATGCTTCAGTGCCACCTCCGGCTCAGTGCACTCTCGAGTCAACTTGTGAACAATCGGGACGATCGCTCCGCATCGCCCTGTCTGTTTCACACATTTTCCTCGCTCGCTCGACCCTGGGAGTGCTTGTCGCCACCGTCGCTGCTAAGGTGACGATCGGGGGGGCTCTGGCGATCATGCGCCTTCGGAGGAGCCCCGGAGGCCGCTCGCACAACCGAGGGCGAAGCCAAATGGCTTAAAACGTGCCACGCCCAATCACATGGGTGCTCAACCGCCCCCGAACCAGTTGCCCCACTGACGTTTCCAGTGCGCCAAGCCTTCCTTATGCCACTCCCTCTGGTCAAGTGGCCAGCAATGCTCTTCTTCCCGTTTCCCCGGCCTTGTGGATGGGCGATTCGGCGCGGTCGCTGTGCTTCCAAGTGCCAAGCTCTGCCGCGGCAGTCTCGATATAGATGCGGGCTGTGTTGGCGTGCTGCCGCTGGCCGACCACCATGACCCTGTCCAGGGAAGGAGCCATAGCCTGGTTGCGCCTCCCCGCCGCAAGCCGTACGGGGTTACTGTATCGCCTTCAACTCCGAATAATGCATGCAGCTTTTTGCACTCGCTTGAAAATGGCCAGGCCGCCTTTGTGCACAATGGTTGGACCGGCCGCCGCGTAGCCGCAGCCGCGCGCAAAGCCACGACGGCGATGCTGTCTTCGATGAGGACGTGTTCGACGCCCTTCTTTCCTCTGTTGTCCTGGCGTCGTACAGCATGATGGGGATTTTGAGCCCGTCCGGGCTAAAAAGCAAGCGCTCGGGCGCCATGCCCGCAACCTCGCTGTTTTTTTTTCGTAGGCCCAGAAATCCCGCTGGAAGGGGCGCGGCCAGATCGACTCTGTGGTACAACATAGCGGCCCCCACCGTTGCTCGAAGCAACCACCGGTCGAGGAGGAAGGCGCGCTTTCTGCCCAACGCCGCGTTCCAAGTGTGTAAGAACTAGCGGGCTGTAGTGATCGCTTTCCGTGTTTCAGGATACAACCCAACAGTTCCATACATTGGATCCGCTGCGTATCTGTGATAATCGCCCCCCCATCCATAAGTGGTTGACGAATTCAGCGAGACACTCGTCGAACTCTGCCGAAGATGCAAAGATGGGTAACGCATATGTCCGTAGATACAGGACTAACGATGAAACGGCTTGTCGGTAACGTGGTCTTGTTCTCTCTGTGATGCCTATCTCCTTGAGGTTTCTGCGAGGCGCTCTGCCACGCAGATTTCGCGTGCTACTTTTCCCCGTTTGTGCCATGCGGGCGGCTCGCGGCATCCGCGAACTGCAGACGTGATATGGCCCCGACACCTAAAGAGTAGACAACCACTGCTAGCTCAAATGCCATCAGCTTCCGTCGCGGCTGGTTGAGTCGTTGCCTGGAGCTCTGGCCCTTGGCAACGACGGCGGCTGCGACTTGACTGTCGAAGATATTGATGCATCGTGGCGGGCACAAGCAATAATAACAATACTTCTTACGGCCATAATTGAAGTAAGCTGCTAATTCTAACGCGTTGATCTGCCGTTGCGTTTCCCACGGGTCAGACATGGTGGCCTGCCGCTGCCGCGAGAAAGCCGGGCGCGGCACTGTTTGGACCACGTTGGCGACTTCCCCTGCGGCGAGCCAGACGCGGCTGCCCTTCGGGCCTGCCCGCGAGAGGAGAGACCGTAGATGCCTGTCCTCCAGCCCCGGGACCATCAGCCGCAGTATCGCCCCCACTTCTCGGGCAAGGCTGCCCGCGCCTTCACTGGGGGACTTTCGGCGCGCTTGCGCCAGTTGGTAGTGGGTCCATTCTGGTCTACTGGTGCGCTGCAGCGGGCGAGCACGGGCCCCCAGTTTCTCAGAGCTTGGGCAACGGCTTCGGGGCATGATGCTCGAAAGGCCTCTTCTGCGTCAGCGGCCTGGCCTGGCTCGCACGGGAAAGCTGCGCACAGTGCTCGGGAGTTGCGCAGGAAGCCAGAGTTCCCGCCGGCCACGCGCACGTCCGAAATCGATGACTACGGCTGTTTCGTAGACCCCTGCGTGGCGACTCGCCGCGAGAACTTCCCGGGCGCGCCGCGAGGGGTCGCGCGCGGGGGCCTGCGCGACTGCAAACCCCCAGTTGGCCAGCCTCCAGCGCACCTCGCAAACGCAAGGGCTCAGTTTTCGGCGGGGGTCTGCCCGGCGGCGGCGGGGGGCGCGGGCGCGCCTGCCGCCCTGGGGGTGCATTCCAGTGCCCCCGACCTGTGGATTCATCATCCGCTTCCAAATGGATGTGTTTGCGCCCCGATTCACGGAGCACCTCTGAGTAGGGGGCCCTGCCAGGGTCGAGGGGGAGGCAAATCTCCACGCCTGAACAGGCCACGGTCCACGTGAGCAGGGCGTCGGGGCCAGGAGCAGCCTCCCGCCCGCTAAATCAAAACCTACCCGGCGGCGCGTGAGCACGCAGTCCAAGGGGCGCATGACCGCGCCGCGCGCTGCTGGACAGCGCGCGACGCCGTCTGCCCGGGCGCCTCCTGGCAGGGAGGCGCCACAGACGACGCGGCGCGCGGATTTTCCGGGCGCCCCGGGAGAGTCCCCGCAAGTCTCGCAAAATGCGCTTCGACGCAGGAGGCGCGCCGCGGCTCCTGCGCGCGGACGAAGGCGGCGGCTTCGGCTGCCCCTCCTCCGCGTTCCGAGCATCCGCGCGCGAGATTGCTCTTTTTACTTGCGCCCGCAAGTTTGTGAAAACCAAAGGCAGCAGACACGAGGGCGCGCAGGTGTCGCCCATCGTTGCCGCGCTGGCCCGAATAGGCCCGCTCGCAGCCGCCTGAATAGCGGGGGGGCATGTTCAAGCACCGCGAAGAGGGGCCGGCGGAAGCTAGCCGCGAAGCGCGCCTGCCCCACCCAATGCCTGCGCGCGCCGGCGCCCCAGGATCCTGCCGCGGCCAAGACGGCGCCTTTGAGCGCTAGTGCCCAGGCCTGGTCTGGCGCTGCCGCCGCCCAGCCCCTGCCCCCCCGCAACAGACCGCCGAGGATGCAAGCGCTGAGCGTCGCCGCCAACAACTTTGCTGGGTTAATGGGAATGCCATGCCGGGCGCGCGTGTTTATAAGAAAGCGATGCGTTCTGCCGATTCTGGCGCCCGGAAGTTCCGGGGCCGCGCCTGGGCCCCCCGCGCGAAATCGAGCCCGTCGAGACGAACGACGCTCAAGCTACAGTCGGGCACGGGCGGGTCTCGCCTGAGCTCCGCGGCCGCGTCGACGCCTGATGCGTCGAACGCGAGGGCCCGCGTGACTCGCTGCGCGATGGGCGTGGCGAACTTCGAGCCCATGGCGACGTGCGCATGCCAGCCCGCGCTAGCCTGTTCGGGCCCCCGCCGAAGGCTGACGCAGGGACTTGCTTGGAGTGCGTGATTCGCCGCTCCTCCGGCACCCGAAAGACGTTGAAACGCCCGTTCTGGTCTTCCGCTTCGCCCGACCCCCCCCCTCCCATCTTCGAACGCGCGCGCGCCGAGAGGCGCCGCCGCCGGCAGACCGCGCCCCCCCCCCCCCCCCCCGAGCTCGCGCAAATGCTCGCGGGTAGGTGTGAAAATGGAAACGAAGCGCAATAACACCTCCCCCCCTCCGAAGGTTTGGGCGGTTCGTCGACGCCCGCGCCTCCGCTGGCGACTGAGCGGCCCGAAGAGTCACTGAACATCTCGTCTTTTCGGACCTCGGCGAATATGCCTCTGGCAGCACCTTCTTTGGCGATGTCGCACCGTTCTCGGCCTGGGGCGCGCGCCTTTGCACGCCGAGGCTCTCTGGGCCCGTCGTCTCTGGGGGAGAGGCAGGAGCCCCCGTCCAGGATCCTGCTCGCGGGCATTGCAGCTGCTTCGCCCGCATTCGGCCGCGCCGGCAGCGCCTTGGCTGCGACGAGCTGCCTGCGCGCGGAAACGGGCCGCCTCGTGCGCGGCCAAATCTGCCCTCACCTGGTGAGCGGGCGGCGCCGGCCCGCCTTCCGCTAGGAGCTCGGCTGCCGCTTCCCAGAAATGGGCCGCGGTGCGCATTTGCGCGGTTGCGAGGCCCGCGCGTGGACCGGGCGCAGCGAAAGGCATCGCGTCTTTCACCCAGGCCGCGCGCGCGAAGAAATTCGAAGCGACAGTCGTGCACCGCGCGGCCGCCCGGCAGTGGGATGCGCGAGAGGCGTCTTGCCCCGCTGCTTCAGATAACAACCGCGCGCCCTCGCGCGCCGC